GCTGGTGGGTTTGAACCGCCAGCCTTCTGGTTAGCAGTCAAGTGCCTTAGGCACTATGCTACCAGAGCTCTGCCTCACCCCTCTGTAACAGTATCAACCCTCAGGTTTAAAATCATCACTTTTCTAACCTATGAATTACTTAGATATTGCTAAAGTACTCCTCTAATATTTGATCTGCTCTAGCTATCATATTTAATAAGAAGACAAATATGTAAGAGGAAACAGTACTCAGAGGGACTGGCAATTCTTCCTTTTCAAACACTTTATCTGGTATTAGCTCTTTCTTTTTAGCTTGAAGTCTTGTGAACAATTGTCATTTTCATGGCTACATGTATATTTAATACCTATAATAAGAAAGTATGTAGATATTAAAATGGGATAACATTCCAAAGTGATATACCAAGCAAAGGCAACATAAATCCCCCAGTAATAAGATTACCACCCTTCCTGTTTATCAACTGATTTGTAAACTATGAAATTCTACTTTTTAAGACCAAACTGTTGATTGAAGTATGAAGTACTTTCCAGATCCCCTAGAAATGAGCCTAGTACCACATCAGTGTGTGTGTGTATGTGTGCAAAATTTCATAAGCAAACTAAGATACATGACATTGTTTTAAAGTATAATGAATATTATGCATTAATGGTTTTTATTGCTTTAAAATCATTTTTAATTTAAATACATAGTATTACACAAATGCAACATAGCCTTATTTATTTTTGCTTTATTGTGTAAGGCTCAAAGGGGGTGTATCTAAGCAACATAAGTTCTCCCTTTCCTGAAAATGATGACTGTATCTTTGAGTATCTTGCAGCCAATGTCTGAAACGAACCATGTCCATAATAAGTGTTTTGAATGGATAACAACTACAAGCAAAGTACATAGTATTCTGATATGTTGATTTAAGTTCATATAATATACCTATGACCAGATTATAACAACTTCATGAATTTGATTAAAGATCAGTATTTTGGGTAAAATAAATCTCAAAACTTAGGGTCTCTTTAGAATTATTTTTTCTTTCGTTTTCCAGCCACAGGTAACAAGACCCATTCTTACTCAATAATATAGTATCAGTGAAAATTGCATACAAATTTGTTCACTCCCTGTCTGTGTTAAACAGAGTTCAAAAGATGTTTAAATAGGTAGTTGAGGTGCTCTTGATACCTCAGGTTTATAAAAATAAACCTCATAAAAATAACACCAAAATTTTGGCAAAATATTCTGCTATAACTCCTTGCTTTAGTGTAACTATTTCCTTTAATTAAGAAATTGGAAGAATTTCAAACTTTCACAAAAACTATTTATATAATGTTTCCCAATAATATAAATAATATACATGCATGTGTTTTCTTTTTTTCAATTTTTCACTGAGCTTTAGGTGAAAGTTTACAGAGCAAATTAGTTTCCTATTCAATTGCTTGTACACAAAGTGTTCCATGACATTGGCTAAATTCCCCACACTGTGTCACCACACTCCTCATTTCTACCCTGGATTCTCTGTTTCCTTTTGTCCAGATTTTCTACCAATTCCTGACTTCTCATCTTTGCTTCTGGACAAATGTTGTTCTTTTAATCTTGTATAATTCATTGTTTTAAGGAACATGTTCCTCTCAGTTGATACTGCTTATTTCATGGGCCTGTGTATTATTTGGCTGAAAGGTAGTCTCCTGGAATGTCTTTTACTTCCAGGTCAGAAGGATGTCTTAAGGCCATAGACTCAGGGGTTCCTCCAGTCTCTGCCAGACTAGTAAGTCTCTTCATTCACATGAATTTAATTTTTTTTTTAATTAGGATTTGGGTGAAGATTTACAGAGTAAATTCACTTTTCATACAGCAGTTCACATATACTTTGTCTCATG